TCCCCTTTGTTTTTTATGCTTGACTACATACATGTTTACATGTAATTACAGCAATTTCTCGCTAGTTCCTTACAAATCTGTGATACCAAAGGTGACGATGTGGCAAGGTTAAAGTTAATGGTGTGGAAGGGTAGGGGGAAAGGGATTGTCAAGCGAAAAATTGGTATGTGATCTGCCCATGCTTTTGCTGAAAATTCAGGAAACATTTTAGAATTGTTGTATTTTTTTCCGCAGGTATCTTTACTCTATGCAAGTTTACATGTATGGTGGATAATATTTGTTGTTTTTTGCATAGACGCTAGCTTGTTATTTAATTTTTCAGGAGTTAGCATTTTAGCACATCATCTTGAAATGAAGTGGGTTGTCATCAAGGGTATTTCAGGTTATCCAGATGAAACTGAAGCAGAAGAAAACTGGAAAACATTTGCAAGTGTAATGGCAGCTTCGGTTGTTATCAGCATTGTAAACGACTGCAGTATTTTTGGAGATTGGCCACATTACAAAGGTAAAGAGATCAGCTTTAATGTTTGTTTTAGGTTTACAGTATGTTTGCATACTGTCTCTAGGATTTTTTTGCTGTTTTGATTTGTTTTATGAATGTACTGGAACTGCATTACCAAAAAAATTCCACTAAACTGAATTAGAAATATGATTGATGAAACATAGGAATTCATGGCGTTGTAATGACTAAAGAATGGAGCGAATGGTACCAACAGGTACATCGGTACTTTTGCAATAATGCCTTTGTCCTGAGTCAAAGGAAACCTATCTCAATTGCATGTCATTTTCATTTACTTTCATTTGGGCTTTCTATGCAGTATCTCTATGTGAATTTTGACCTTCATTGATATTCTCTAGAGTGCACCCAACTAGTACACCATTATATATCACTAAACTTGCAATTCAAGGAGAATACAATTGCATGCAAGTATCATGCCTAAATTCTCCGGCACCATGCTTTTTTACCTGTGTATCTTCTAGGTACATTGTAAACAGTGCCTCGAAACTAGAAAAGTGTCGCTTTCTTTGTCAGAAACCAAATCAAAACGAATGAAAATTACTTTGAGTTTGTTTATTCTCATGTAATTTTCTGGTGGCGCAAAATAAGTTAAAGCAACCTTTCTTTTGAAACATTTCTCTGTTTTGTCGTAGCCTATTGCACTCACTACTTAGCTGGATTTTGATATGGTTTTCGGAGTGTTTTCTAGAGTGGGATTGTAGGTACCAATTAACATTCTGAAAGAGATTAGGGAGGAATATCATCACGAGGTCCTTGTGACAATAGGCTTCTCCTGTTCACTACATAAGATTGCTTTTAGGTGCTCATTGGACACTAATTACCTCTGGATTTCTTTAGATTCTAGAGGGAGAAAATTAATTGATTTTTATTTCTATTTGAACTTTCGTAGATTCAATCCCCATCTACATAAAGGCAAGGGGAACAGCGGGACTTATAGCGTACTGGAGAGCACTAGAGGAAGGCCAAACTTACGATAGACGTACCAAGATTGTGTTGATTGGTCAGGACCGTACCGGTAAGACAAGTCTTAGAAGATACCTCAGAGGTGAAGCATTTGACAAAGATGAAGCCAGCACTGATGGGATTGAAATGATTTCCCCTGTCAAGAGCGCAGGAGAAGGGGCATGGAGGAACCCAGCCGCTCTTGAAAACACAAGTGCACTTGACCACAAGTGCGCAGAGATTACAAAAGAGATACTCAACAACTCTACAAATCCATCCGATAGGGCTCAACCGCCTACTGAAGTAGGAAATAAAACAAGAGGCGAACCTACAGTTGGACAGAAAGCGACTGAAGAACGTGTTCGTGACCCCCTTCTTATTCGTCCTTCCAGTAAGCACTCAAGTAACCTTTATCGTCAAGGAAGCAATTGCCTCATAGTTATATTTTAATGTTCTTTCTAGTTTATTTTCCTTTCTCGGTTTTTTCGTTTGCTTGCTTTGGTGTCCTTAGCAGTTCTTAGCTTTCAGTATTGCATTAGATTTTTAAGAATTCAAGAAATTAATCGACCCAGGTTCTGCCTAATGGGAAGCCTGGACCATTATCCGTCTAACTTAGAAAAGATAAATAGAATTGAAGAAATCAATTTTTTAATATCTTTATTTACATCTGCAGTTTACAACCCAAGGCGCAAATCTGTTACCTCAAAAGAAGACATTGAAATAAATGTTAAGCTTAAGCTCACTAGCCCTGACTTTAACTATAGCTTCTTTACAGAATCAAAGGACTTTTTAACTACTAGAGAGGTAACTACATCAAATCTTTTACTCACAGGTGTATTTCCATCAGTGTCCCGTAATCTTATGAGGGTTAGCATACTCGGTCCATAAAAATGCAAAAAAAGAAGTCGGCCTATATCAGGCCATCTTGACCCCACGCTTGGTTAATAACGCATATATGTTAAAATGACGGTATTGATGAGGGTGATTTATGATAATCATTATTTTCCTTGGCAGATCTCGACCCACATCACCCTGATGATACTGAACCGCCTCCTGGTTAGCTCAATCGGTTAGAGCGCTGGATTGTGTTGTGCGGGAGGTCGAGGGTTCGAGCCCCGGCCGGACCAATACTCATGGTCTTAAAATAACTGAGGAGAATTTGCTACCTTTCTATAACATCAATGAAATGGATAGATATTCTAGTCTTCTCGGATAAGGACGAATAAAGTGGAGGTCCCGTCTCCTGCAGGGTTAGGGGTAGGAGACTTTAATTTCCCACACACGAGATTGCTGTGTGATGGATGTCCTCCCCTGGGGTGGGATGTGTGGGGGGAAATAGGTGAGGTCGTTACATGGACTAAAGCGGCTGCCAGAGGCGCCTGATAATGCTGACGTCCGATCTCAACCTTAGTAACACTGTAGACCTTAGCAATTCAGCCTATGCTGCTATTAAGGTATCGAATCATTCACTTTCACTTTCACTTTCACTTTCACTTTCACTTTCACTTTCACTTTCACCCTTCAGCCTCTAATTATAAGAGTGACAAGCAACTAATTTCTCCTCGTATTATCCTTGCTTCCTTGCTGAATCAAGCAAAAAACTCATGGGAATTTAGGAAGTAAGCATCAACTAAAGAATACTTTGATTGTCAAACAAATTCTCCTTGTCAGTGCTTTTGGAAATGTATAAAGAACAGTATGGAGAAGATGCATATTGACCTTGCGGTGTAAAGAGTTAAAGATGCTGAGGTATAACTGAGAGAATTTTGTCTNGTTGAATTTGCCTTCCTTGTCAGGGTTTAGCAAGTTTTATTTTCGATATGGAGAGTAACATTGCCTCTGACTTCATCATCTCCCTATGGTTTAAAGTGACCAACGACGATTGCTTTCTTTCCCTGACAAAATTTCGTTGATTCACATGTTGACGAAAAAAGTAGTCTTTTTTTATACATACGATACTAAGAAAAGAAAATTGAAACTCAATGGACTAATTTTCTTGTAAAATAAATCAAATTGTTTCACTTGAAAATGTCTGAAAGATAACTCTGTTGCTAATGACACAGCAAGGTTTTGCATTACAAGGTAGTACCACCATCGAGGGAACAGACTCGACTATGGAAGTAATTATAATTAAGCTTAACTCTGAGTTTGGAATCAAGACTTCCCAGTGTTAAGAAGAATTTCAATAGAAGAACCTGCTGAGACTTTACAAAACCATATACCGTCATTAACAATGTTCTTATTTCATTCTGAATATGGAATTATGACGTAACAGTGCGCGGAGGTAGACCTTGGCGCACCGATCCTCGATCAAGTCTCTGCGCATGCGCAGCCTTGACACCATGGGTAGAAAACTCGGTCTTCGCCATTGCCTTAGGATAAGATATGTACTGTTAGAAAGTCTCTTTTTCTGAAAAAAAGAGGTTTCTTCAAATGCGAATTGTTCAGTTACAGGAAGCGTATCATCCCAAGGACGAAAATTACTTATAAGTAATTAAAGTTTGCTGATTGGCTAATTTTGTATTTGTTAGTTCATTCCAGATTTTTTTGTTGTTCCAAAAATGTTTTAGCCTGTGTTCCAGATAAGTGTCGCGAGGGAACAAATTTTTCTATATTGCACAAAAATGAGAATTTCTCTCGTTTTGACTGTGGCGACTACGGCAAGTTTTGTTTATCAGATATGTCAATAACATTGGAGACATTTTAAAGCTAAATTAGCTTCCTGTGGAGGAAGGAAGGGATTTTAATTTGCTGAAGTTAACCTTTAAAGCGATTCATTTTAAACAGTGGCCAACATATCTGAACTTACAACCATTCCCTATACGAAGGAAGCTGCGCTCATCGGACTGTATTAGACTACAGGTTCCTTTAGAATTTTTTCGGCCGAGGTAAGGAAAAACACGCGTTAAATTAATCTCTGTTCTGCATTTGTCTAACCTGGGTGGATGTTCCGTCGGTCCCAAACGCTATGTGGCTATGTAAACTTTTTCTATTTGGTTTTCTGATGGACAACATGTTTAGTTACAGTACTTCTTTTTACAAGGTGGAAAGAGGAAGTCACCAAGCGGGTCAATGGACAAGGACAAAATTAGTATACGGGGGAAGTGGAAGGAGGAGGAGGAGGAAGCCTTTAAAGGTCAATTGATTGAGAGCGCGATTAACGGAATTAATTTTACTGACAATCTCTACAGTTTAATACTTATCAACATCAATATAGCAGCAAAGTGGGCTGCTTTTATCTCTGAGTCACTGCCCCATTCTCCAAATTTGCGTGAGCTCGACCTGTCCTTCAACCCTTTACACAGTGGTGTGAGTCATTTGGCTGAGAATCTTTATCACGTGCCACAGTTGACGGAATTAGGGTTGTGGGATGTACAAAATGAGAGAAAAGGAATGTGCGGCAATTGCTGCCTTTATAAATAAAAAAAAAATGGTAGATTTGATATTCATTTGTTGTTGAATTCTCTCCATTTTGAAACACGCATGTGCAATAAATTAGGCCTGAAATTGAAAATTGAGTGAAATAGAAATTATTGAGAAAATGGCGATGAAACATTACAGTATATATTTCAAAATTATTGGCTAATAAGCTCTGTTAATAAGCTGTAAAGTTAAATGATTCTTGATAGAAGCATGTATTTTTCCTATGAGATGCCGTGATATAATCTGCTGTACCCCAAGAATAAAGAAAGTGATCGAACTGGCAACGCAGGGTGGAAAAACAATCAGGAAGTGCTTCCTGTGGGCTTATTGCTAATTGAACGACAGGAAGGCCTTGTAATTAAATCACTTGAGCCACTGTCCTGGTTTATGAGCTTATTTTCACAAAGTGACGCTCCTCAGGCGTGAAGTCATAGGTTGAGTTTTTGGGCTGAGGAACCGAGGTCTTAAATTCCTCACCTAGATTTTTATTAATTTCAATTCTTCACTCGCAATGATTTGGGAAAAAACTTTGTAAGCAAGTTTACGATACAGTGTTCATAAAAGGAGATGGTTTTAAAACTAAATGTAGAGGCATGTTGTGGTCATGAGGCAACTTTAACTGCTCTCTGTTTGTTTGCTTTTTTTTTTTCTTGAAGATATTTCAACTGATGGACAAGATTTAACATTGAGTAAAAGAGTTCCTGTTGAGACATCCTGTTCTAATGCCCAGTACTTCCAAAATGCCTCGTCCGCTAAGACAGCAGGTATATATTAAAAAAAAAAAAACAAAATGATTTCCCTTTTAATAGATCCGCTGACATTTGAATGGTGTGTTTTATAAGTAAAAAGGGTGCATCGAGAAAATGTTTTTGTCATTCTTATTAAAATGAAACTCGTCATAGGGTTCTCTTCTGCTCAGTGGAAGAGCCTCGGAACGCAGAATGCGAAGGTCTGGGTCTCAATTTCGCTCGTGGGACTAATAACAAGAGGAACAACACCTTCCTCTGAACTAAAAATAATTATTGATGCTGTCTGTAGTTTAGCCTTTTTTGATTGGTTTTTAATCACTTTTCGTATTTTTGAAAGGTGGAAAAAGGAAGTCATCAAGCGAGTCAGTGGATCAGGGCATAGAGCGCTCGAGGTGTGAAGGTATTTGTCACTGAGGACTTCAATTTATAACTTCTTCATTCAGTCCGCTTGAGACTTTCATACTGGAGGATCCGAAGTGTTACATATTTACTATAAGATTAAAG